ATCAGTATTACATCGTTTTATTTCACTTAGCCAAAGACTATACTTTAAGACGAGATTAGGTTCGGGTCTATAAACGAAGATAAAGTCACCTGTGGCCCGTTTTGATGAACAATCATTTTCGTCCTGATGCACAAATTATGTAGATTGCATCACACGCAACCCATAAATCATATTTTACCTTTAAAGTACATTATCATCAAAAACATGGATTTCTATTGAACATATGATTACATTTTGTTAATAAATCGTAGCATTATAGTAGTTTACGCATCGATCATGTAAAAATATAATTTAAGATGTGAGTAGAACATTTTAGGTACCTTGGCGAGTGCCTTTAAAACTTGTACAAGTGTATTAAAGGCTAATTACGCGAGTTGCGTATAATACTTTACCTACGACATTTTTTTTACTTACCAACAACCACTACTCATAACGTCTAAGAGAGGTTATGTTTTCATTTATAACCTCTCATTGCCACTGATTGTGATGCAACGACTTATTGTCCCAAACTCAATGTATAATTAATTAAATTGGCCGTAACAGCTGATAAGTTGATGTTCAAAGCATTTTCTACTTATTTTCTCTTAATACTTGAACCTCATTGGTCCAAACTTATACTGTAAAGTAACAAAACAAGCTGTCAAGTACGTAAACAATACTGTAAAGTAAAACTGATTTGAAAAAGGCTATTAAAAAAAAAACTTCGTAGGTAAAATAGAATAACATCTTAGCATAGCATCATAAAACAACATAGTAACATGAAATCAAAACATTAAATCTGCACTATGTCTTGTGTGCATGAAGTATATCTTGGAATTGCCATAGGCCATTGCTGGTTTGAGTAACATTAGAAGTAGTGATAGAGTCGCTCAAGGTTGTGTATTATTTGCAAAAAACTTGCATTAAGTTTTCTCCTTTGGGGTAGCAGTTTAGGTCTATCGCTTGGAAACAGTACTGAGAACAACCCCAAGCTACTAAAATTAACTTTTTAAATTTCCTAACACTCCTGTGAATGATAAAACTTTTTCTAGGGAAACAGCTATAGTTATTTATATAGTTTTAAAACTAATAAGTCATTAAAAATGATAAGTAACAAAAAACTCATTATTAAAAATTGTAACTGGGTTATACACGAGTTTGTTAACGTGTTGATCTACGAATAAAAAAGAGGCTATCCTCTTTGTCTTTATTTCTAAGTTCATTAAGGTCAACTCTAACTATTGTTAACAGACTAACTGTAAATTAATTCTTCGTAAACGTTATTACAATGTTAATGGAATCTAGATTAAACATGTAAAAAGACATTGACGACTTTTTTAACGAAACGGATGGGCAAAGGGTTTGGGATCCCTAAAACTTGTTTAAGGACATTATGCTAAAAAGAGGTAAAACATGGATATATTTTTACTCATTTGATTCAGCCCAAATATACAAAAAGAGTTGAATATTAAATAACTACTTAACTCCTCTAGACTGATTCGGTAGAGTAGAGTAATACATTATCTTCAAGGGTTAAAACTAAATAATGTTACCTCTTAAGTATAAAGCATTTTTCAAATTTGCTTTTTGCTTTTGAAAATAACAAAAAACACCATTCTTAAGTGTTTTTTTTCAACCAACGAAGTTTATTGATAATTAAACATACTATTCTACTGGTATTAGATTGGTCAAGAAAATTTGCCACAATGACAACTTTAACATAAAAAAATCGTTAGCAAGTGTACAGAAAACAAACAATCCCTACTTACATTTTTACTTACCCTCACTTTGTCGGAACTTCAAAGCATTCATTGTGTAAGGAAGTGTACAAATACATTCCCTTTGAAGTTTGCCTTAAGGGCTTAGAAAGCCCGAGCGTATTCAACAGTGATGCAGTGATCACTTCTAAACAATCACAATATACAATGGATTCTTTAAGCGATGACTTGTGATTGGTTGTTTTGTGGACTTAATAATAATTTAAATACCCCTTACGCAGCAATTCTGCACACTATGCAAACGTCCATTTACCTGGCTAGATTTTCACTAACTCCCTTTAACTTGTCACCATTTCCTTTTAGCATATATTTTAATGAGTACTTAGGTTTGCTGCTACGGAGAAGGTGAGATGGTAAATTTTTTTTATTGAAATGTTGATAGGTAGCATAGTATAAAATTAACATATTTGCAAAGTTACTATAAACAAGCAAACTTCAACAGTTTTATTTTTTCTCCATAAAAATAACATGGACATTTTAATTTACACTTTTAAGGAAATTTCTCCGTAACTATGAGGCATATAAAAGTGCTACTATAAACTAAATTATGTTTTTTTTTTTACTCAAAAAAATGATTTGAGATGAAATTGCAAAATTATACGTGTTTACGGTAAAAAATGGGAAGACACACTTGTTCCCCATAAACCCTCGTTCCCATAGTCCGATCATGCTGGTTCGCGAACTCGTTTGAATAAACGTAGATATACACGTTGGCACAAAATTCCATCAAAATCTGATCATTTTTTCTCGAGCTATTGCGCTAACGTACACACATATAATATTTATGAATGAACGGTGTTTTTGGTCTCTGGAAAACTCAAAACGAAAAATTAAATTGGTCCCAGGCCCATGTCTTACCATGAGACCTACGGCAATAGATTATTCCCTGTATGGGAAATTCGCTAAGCCTCCCTTTTTTAATTAACACATTGGGAGATCAATTATGATTAAAAAATTACAAGCGAATAGTAGTTATAGTAAATAACCATGAGGTTATAGGTTTACTGACACTAAACTTGTAATTTTAGTTTGAAATCAGTTGGAAATAAAATGTCAAAAGTAAAAATTCATAATACGTCTTCAATATTTTAAAAATGTATAGTCCAGAGTTTGAGCAAGAAAATTAAACTAATTAACTGTAAATATACATTAAGTATTTATTACAATTTAAAGTCGCTTATATGATTTGATTACCAATGACTCAATTTATATTAATACCAAAATAATTTAATCTCGTGTTCCAACAAAGTAAAATGCAAGAGAGGGTTTATCTACATGCAATCTGAGTCCAAAAACGTATTTCAATTGGCAAATCCTCTTAACATAGAAACGCAATATGATGCGTGATTGACTTTTAGGGGTTCAAATGACGAGATTTCTGCTTGATTTGAGGGGAATATTGACTTCACATATGTGGTTTCTCGATTCACGAAAGTCCTGTTCGGCCAAACATAGTTTTATTGTTGTCAGTGATTTTGTTCGATCTCTTTTGTTAAAACAGTAATTGTAAAGGAACAACTTAATGTAGATATATTTTTGTATTTACGGTGTGGAGTAACTTGTGATATCAGATAAGTAGAAATTTGAAATATGCCTGATATTGTTGACAAACTTTTAAAAATTTGTTTTAAGTCTTAGTCATAGACATATTCTCTATTTAAAATTCAAACTTATTTCTACTATTATTAAAACCTATATGCTAATCTAGAGGTTTAGAGAGACTATTGTTTGTATTGATGATAGGTAATGAAGTAATTGTTTTATTTTTCTTAACAGACTAAGTTTTTTTTAGTGTAATTCATAAGATAAAGTTAGCATAAATAAGAAAATGAACATTTTGTATTCAGTTTTTTTATGGATTTAGACACAGATATTCAAACTATTTTTTTTTGCTCTGTTATATTGTGTTTTTTTTTCTTTTATTTTATTTTGGAGGTTTTCTACACCTACCAAAGTTTTTTTAGATAACTGCAATTTTTTAAAGGGGGATTCATTACAATGGGACTATACTTAAAGTATTATTCTGGACTTGTTATAAAAGGATAGTCACTCCAAACCATTAAATTAGTCACTCCAAACCATTAAATTCCCTTGATAGCAAAAGGAGTGGCGGTTTTTCAATAATCCACACATCGATATTTCTCATTGCACCATTGTATGTATGGATGTTTGCTGCTATAGTCACAATATAAAAAAGATAACGACTAAAAAGAATCGGTATGCAGAGTATCGCTTCAATCCTTGCCCGTAGGTACGGATCTTACCTGATATCACGTATCTAAAGTAGCAGTCAACGTTTAGACGCACCTGCAGGCACCTAACATTACATTTTGTAGGCTATGCAAGATGTGCATTAAATGATAAAAACACATTTCTTTAGGAATGATATTTATAAGACGATTATCGTTAATATCCTTCAAATTGCCATTTTAATAAGTTTACTACTATCCCCATTATTATTTTTAACCGATAATGTAGTATTGCTTCACAAATGCTACCTTAATAGTTTAAGTCTGCCACACTGGAATATTTTATATACATAAGGATATTATTTCAATAACAATCCCAATTTTTATGTCAAGAAGTAAAATAAGAGACTAGTGTATATTAAACTTGACCACATGTCTAATACTTGTACAACAAATTGTATGGTTGATACAATCTAACATAAAATATTCATTAATCGTGCTTGGGGAGTTTTACAACAGTTTTTGTGATTAAATAGAATGTTGGTAAAATAGTTGCAAATAGTTGAAAACATGTATGTGTAAATATAAAAAAAGTTTAGAAACAAAAGAGGAATCAACAAAAAAATTACATGGTTTGGATTTGCACAGTTATATTTAACAGTGAAACCTAGTCTGTGTATCTTTCTTTATTTCTCTGTTTATTTGATGGAGATTCGTGAAAGAAACTGAATTTTGAATGCATTTGATTTTTTCCACCTCTTTATTTGCAACAAACATTACTGTATAAATAAAAATTACCTTACTAGGATATTTATCCTTTAATAATGTGTGCTTATTAAATAGCTTTGTTCTAACCCTTAGGTTTAAATGTACTATTATGTCATACAATTTGATACAAAACGAATACATTATACAAACTACAAACCAACACACCTCTATCTTTTTATGATAAAAGACATATTTACGTTGCACATAAGTAGCAGTGGACAGTTTATAAGTCTGCTGCAAGTGCCAGAAAGGATTTGAAGTGAATCTCCAGCCAACGTAATTACTTTTATTGCCTTTTTATGTGCGGGATTCCAAAGCTTTCAGAATCATTGCCAAGAACTGCGCTAGCATTGTCGCACGGCTTGACTGTAAATGCAGAGAATGCTTAGTTTCTTAAATGAATGAATTTTTGAGAAGTTAATCATTAATTCTAATCATGTAGTAATATATCAAAATACATAGCGAAAAGAGCAAACTATAGATTCAAAAAACTAAATGATCATGAACTTAAGAGGGAGTCCGCAATTGAACTTTTAGTTGGTAATCCACTGTTTGAAATTTTCTCCACTGCACATTTTACCTAGGGCCCATTAATTATAGTTTCTAGAGATTGCCTTTTGTAAATGAAAATGCTTTTGTACAGTTAGGGACAACCAATTCATTTTTTTTTTAATTCACTTTCAACTTTTATCCCAGCTCAATCAATTATTTTTTTTTTAGTTTGGCTGCTTGGATCATTTATCGTGTTTAGAAATTGTGTTTGCTTACGCCATTAAGTAGTTTAATTGTATACATATGCAAAACTAGCAGAGTACCCGTCCTTCGTACGGGGTTGGCATATAAGTGTAAAATGTTTATTGCAGTTATGCTCAAGCTTTCTGTTTGCAATGGGCAAGGACACAGTTTGATAACATTTGCTTCTTTAAATTTAAGGTATACAATAGTACAAGAGTAGTAGGTACACATCTATCATAGCACATCTATAATGTTCTACCACTAAACAAATATCAAAAATTCGCTAAATATCACAAATTATTCATAAAATTAAAAACATAAACATAACTTTAATCAATCCTTCTTTGACAGTTCTCATTGCGTATCACAGTTTTTTTCTGCTTAATTCAAATTATATCAGCTGTTTTCATAAGTGCAAAAAAATAGTGCTGCACTCTGTTGGTAAATCCTATAACTTTTTAATGCTTTTGCATATCATAGAACAAACCTTTTTATTTGAAACAGCTGACTAAATTCTTTAATTCCATTTAAATATGAATACTCATAAGGTTAACATGAGGAACTACAGAGCCACTGGGGCAGAGGACTTTTTAGATAAGAATATGCATATTTGTTAATCGGGAATGTAAGCTATCATCATGCCAAATTTCAGCCCAATCTGTCCAGTAGTTAATGCGTGATTGAACTTCAAACAAACAAACAAACACAAAAACTTTCACCTTTATAATATTAGTAAGATGTATTCACCATAATAAATTTGAATATTTTTTATGTGCAATTGAAATAAATTGTATAAAAAATGCTTACAATAATTAAGATTTTGACTTTAATTTTTGCTAACAATAGGAGATACCTTTACAATAAATTTGAACCACATTATGTGTATTACTGTACGAAGACACCCTTACGAACGATCATTTAGCGCTTGGACCATGTTTCCTGCGAATGTTACCTGTTATTCCGAACTGTTTTCCAATATGATATTCCTCTATAAACATATTTCTAAGAGGTTGATTGTCAAAATGAGGCACTAGAGTATGCTACGATTTTCCAAAGAAAGTGCACTAAGAAACAGCTTATACTCAGGGGACGATGCTTTAATTTTATATAAGATCGACTTCCGGCTTTCTACCTTAGGCAACATTACGTAGGTAAAATACTCACCTTTGTAGCTCCTTTGTTCGTCCAGAATCTGAACAATATTTCCTCCGCATTAGTTTGAATGTGTTAATTTAAACTATAAATCTTCCTCAAAGTTGATTAGCACGCAAAATGTACAAAATTTACGCAAAAGTTTATTTTATAATAAACTTAGCACTTTTTGCTTCTCATATTATTTAACGTGAAATGCCTTCCGCTGGTAATGTGTCTTCGGTATTTTTGTAACAAGGATAGATCAATAGCTTAAAGCACGTGAAAAATTGAAAATCCTATCCTATACTCTATAACAAGCGCGTGTACGGGCAAATTTTATTTTCTTCCGAGGAATTTAGATTTTTCTGGTTGAATTTGGGGTATTTGGCCACGAGAAATCGATTGAAGTTAGTCATGATGCTGGGAAAATCCGGTTTCCGTTATACGGCCCTTGAAAGTGCCCATGTTATCTTCAATACCTTTTTCTAGCGGCAGTTCACAAAAACAGCAGTTATAGGTTATGTTTAATGTCATAATTGGATTTGACGTGTAAACAAAATTACTGCATTTGCTTGTTTGGACTAAACATTTTAAAGAATATTTGTAAAAAAAATCCCGGGCTCGTGACTAACGTCCTAGGACAAAGAAAATGTCATTGCCAGGCATAGTGTTTTCTAGTGGTGTAACTGATTAGGCTATCTTCAACTTTAAAAATGAATATGATTAAAAATATTTGTTGGTGTTTTTTATGATACTTTTTTAACCCCAGACTACGCTGTTAGGTGAGCAAGAATTGCTACCCACTTTTTACCTGCGTCAAATTAAAACCAAATCAGAATACACATTTATAAATATTTGTGATTCTATAAACATTTACACTTTCGAAAATTAAAACAATTAAGTTTATAAGAGATAGGAATAACTAAATATTTTCATCGTGAACAAGTTGTATTTACAAAATGTAATGAACACATTCCTAGCTTCCTAAAATTAAATTCTAACCCAGGACGACGGATACGTTTGGAATTCTCAATAACGACATTGTAAGTTGGGAAAGCTTAATGCCGGCTCGCAGCTGTTATAAGAAACTTTTCAACATATTTTTATTACTCAAAATATACAAGAGTTATGTTTTTGGAGTAAAATTAATTGTTAATATTAAAAACCCAGGGACAGCCAAGGCAGCCCAGGGATACTGGCAATGACTATAGAATCTTGCTTGTTTCCCTAAGCAATGCCCATATCTATATATAAAATCCAATGTATGTTTGTTTGTTTGTATGTATGTATGTATGTATGTATGTATGTATGTATGCTTGTTTGTTTGTTTGTTTGTCCTTTATGGACTCCGAAACCACTCGACAGATTGTAATGAAACTTTCAGGCATTATTAAGCATTATTCAAGGGTGGTTTGTGTGAAGTTTCGTGCAGATCTGTCAAAAGGGCTCCGCCCCAGTGGCTCTGAAGTTTCCAATATTAACCTTATGAGTACTCATATAAATGTAATTTAAAAGAATCTTAACAGCTGGTTCAACTAATCAATTTGATTCTGTGATGTTCAATTGTATTAAAAAGTTAATGGGTTTACCAACAGGGTGCAGCACTATTATTTTTAGCGAATTTCCCTATAGGGAAGTAGCTATTACCGTAGGTGGCACGATAAGACCTAGACCCGGGACCGATTTACTTTTTCATTTTGATGTCCCCAGAGGCCAAAAACACCATTCGTTCAAATTTTTATATATGTATATATATATATATATAGACACATATATATATATATATATATATATATATATATATATATATACGTCCGTGAACGCGATAACTTGAGTAATTTTTGTCCGATTTTGATGAAATTTGGTTTAAAGGTGTAAAGTGGGATAAACTTGAATGAGTTCGCGAACCAGCACGATCGGACCATGGGAACGGGGCTTTACGGGGGGTTTTATGGGGTAAAAATTGGTTTTTCTCACTTTTGACCCTCAAAACACAAAATATCCCGATTTCTCTTTAGACCTTTTTAAAGAGCTTAAAAAAACAAATAATTTAGTATATAAAAGTATTTTTGTTTGATTATTAGTAACGGAGAAAATTAAAAAAATTGTAAATTTAAAATTCCCATGTTATTCTTATGGAGAATATTGTCAAATGTTGTAGTTTGCTTGTTTATGGATAGATTTTGATCAAACTTGGCAAATTTATTTATTTTGTACTAAGCTATCAATATTTTACTCAAAAACACACATTATTAGTTTCCTTGTAGCAGCAAACCTAGGTACTCGTTAAACCTAATGTTATTAAAATATATTTAACTGAAAATCAATTCAGACAAATGGAAATTCGCTTAGTCGGCAGGTTTGCTGCGGCGGGGGTATTTTAAATTTATGACAACAGCTAATTTGCAACCAAATGGTGAGTGAGCGTAGCGAACGAACTTCAACCTTGAGGCGAGTTAGCGTAGCCAACGAGCTAAGCTGCAGGCAAGTGAGCGCAGCGAACGAGCTCCAACCCAAAGGTGAGTGAGCGTAGCGAACGAACTTCAACCAGGACGTGATTGAGCCATGCGAACGAGCTCATCTTGAAAATGAACGAGCTTTTGACATAAAACCACATTAGGACAGGACGACGTCTGTCGGGTCAGCTAGTAATATATATAAATAAATTACAGTTTTGTCTATACATTGCGTGGAATCATGAAGTATTTTGGTTACTTTCATCCAGGTCGGGAAGCGGATATTCTGTGTGTATCAAATTGTACCCAAGTTTTGACAACTGGAAAATACCGTGAATCATTGTGGTATAGAACTGGGAAACTTACATTGTTAATATCATCGTCACCTTTAATCTACGAAATTATAATCTAGATCGAGATTTCCACTCATTAAAGGCGTTTCGATGGTTTTTGTATCAAGTTAAAAATACAAAGATAAAATAAAAAAACAATAACAATAACAAGATCGCGGATGTTGCTGTGATATAGGAAGAGCTTCACACCACTACAATCCTCTAATCTAAAACAAGCGCATGTACGCGCAAAATTTTTCTGTTCGAGGATTTTTATTTTTTCCAATATGTGGTATTTAGCCATGATAAATCGATTGGAGTTGGTCACAAGGCTCGGAAAAATCCAGTTTCCGTTCTACAGCCCTTGAAAGATAATATCGTCAATACCTTTGTAGCTAAAGTTAACAAAACAGCTGATAAAGATTATTTTTACTGTCATCATTTTGATTTACGTGTAAACAAAAATAACTGTATTGGTTAGTTTGGATATATTCAATTTGGTTTACATACATTACTGTTAAATGTTTTCAAGGTGAATTTACAAGATTAAGAATGAAATGCGGAAGACCTCCGAAGCGAATATACATAAACCGAAAGGGAGAGAAGCTACAACCGATCGTCAGGAAACAAATTTCACCTCTTCGTCTACAACCGAGCCAGTTCCAGCCAGCTCATACATCTCACAAAATGTCTCAAAACCTCGTTTTTTTGTCGCGCATCGAAGAATAATGATCATGTCTATCATTCTTAAGCAGGAGTGTCAAGGAATTGTCATCGCACTGCAATTCCTCAAACCTCTAAAGTCACCATGTCAGCGGATTATGGATATTCACGATTGGGACCGTTTGACGTAGCATGAATACACACGACGTGTGTCCGAACTGATTCACGGTCAGAGGGTAGTTCTTCAACATCCAAACTGATCCAGAAATCTGGCAGGTAGAAAATGGGGTCGTTTGATACACCCAGTTTGATCCGCCAAGCGTGGGGATGGCTGTTTTGAATATAGGCCTAATAAGGTTTCAACTGATACTTAATATCCCCCGTCCGTAGAAAAAGCAAACTGCTAGTATTCTTTTGTTGTATACTTTTCGGGGGGAAGGGAATTATTTACCAATACAAAGGTCAATCCTTATATACTGCTTAAAGTATTCCAGCCTTAAGTTTCTAGTTCCTATTTTATTTTATCCTATCATGGGTTAGGTTTGGAAGAAGGCTAAAGAATACACGAAACTAAGCACGACTTGTAATTTATTACAGGTATAAACTTTGGGCAATCAGGAATATAGTACTTTTCCTATTAACTCCTCAAAAGTAAGACTTATTTTTTGTGACGTACTTTCATCCTTGGATGTGAAAAATTTCATCATAATATTTATTTTTATAACACAATGCAAAAAATCTTCAAATGATATGTAGCCATCTCTTGTCGCGTATTTTCGTATTAAACAACCAAGTATCTTGAGGTCGAAATTAAAATCGAGTGCTTTCAAAGCTTTTTTAAAACCTGACGAATTTAAAAACCCTGTATCCTTATCGCTGTACAATTCATAAATTGATTCACACGTTTTAATCATATTCCACAAGGCTTGGAATTCATTATACCCCAGCTTTCCTGAATGGTCTGTATCCATTAGAGCCACCATACTTCTACAAAGATCGTATGAATAACCACCCATTGTCTTTACTTGAACACTCTTTTTATTGGTTGTTCCGAAAACTTTGTTATAAATCAAAGTTGCTGCGTCAAAAAGAAAATGGCCCCAGCCGTCACTATTATCCTCAGCGGGCAAAACTCTTTTCTTCGAGCCAAAATCTAAAATTTTCTTTAAATCTTTCCAATCAACTTCTTTGTTAGGGCCAGACAGCTTGAGAAAATATTTTGTAATTGATTGGTCAATTTTGAACTCTTTAATAGTTTCTAATGGTGTTCGTGACACTGGTGCATCACTGTCTAGCACTTCGTCCGGTGAAAGACCTATTTTAATAGCAGAATCTGAGTCCTTAATTAGCGGCTTCTTTTCAGTATAAATTCTCAATAGAAATTCTCCATTTACTCCGTCTTGCGTATAAGGAATCACGCAATATGCTCCTGGCTTAAACGCATACCTGCCTACTATTTCACGTCGATAGTTGCCTGGGGCGTAGGAGCAAACTGGTTGGTTGCTTTTCAAAAAGTCTTGGTCTAAAGCGGGTTGATTCAAGTTAGAAATACGGTAAACGTTAAACCCGAGTTCTACGTAACTACTGTCCAATGCGGGTGTTTTTCGTAGCAACGCAATCAGCACGGAACACTCGCCGTCGTTGTCACCGTCCAATTCGCTCAGCTTCAACCTTATTTGGGGATTCTCATGCAGGGATTTGGACCCTCCAGCTGTCACACCTTTTATCCAACTACCCTTGACCATATCCAAGTGCCACTGTCCAACTTCTGTGTTCTGTCCGTACGCGCTTAAATATACGTTAGGACTCAAATAGCAAATATCCATAACACCAAAGTTTGACATAAAGTCTGAATATTCCATCACAAATTCTCCATCATTTCGGTTAACCACTGCTAATTCTTTTTTGAGAGATTCAGGAACTTGTTCCCATTCCTTTGATCCGTCGCTCCATGCGCCGTTCCACTCGAAACGTCCCCAAGGATTTCTGAGACGAATCAAAAGAACTTCTCCACGCCCAGGAACACTTACGGTTCTTACGCCAGTTATCGCGTATGAGTGTTCCCTTTGTATATTTCCAGGAGTTGGTCCTTCTTTGGTGGAATCGCTAAGGATTCCACAACTAATGAGCGATCTTCTTGCAAATGCCTTGAGCAAATTCTTGTCAAATCCTGTAAGGTCATTTCTAAGTCTAATTCGCTCTACTACGCCACCAGTAAAATGCTGCATAACTTCGTACTCTCTCCCCCCTTCGTTTACGTATGCGCCAAACATAAATTTTAAGTACGCCTTTTCTAAGAGAGCCGGCCACAAAACATTGTTTGGTGCTCTAGTTGACGCCAATTTTCCTTTAAGAATAGGGAGGCGGTCATCAATGACTACGTCGTACCATCTTCCGAATCTCCAGAACCGAAAGTGAAATATCCCTGCGTATTTATCATAAAAGCTCTGATCAAAAGGGACCACTTGGTTCACAAGTTCTGGATGAACTCCCAAGCAAGTCATGGTAGCCTCGAAATGGCAGTTCCCAAATCCTCCTTGGAAGACATCGTGTTGAGTCGGTTCTCCATTGAACAGACAAGGTTCCTCCATTATCTTCCATGGTCGGTGCCACTCGTATTTCTCGTCATACTTGAAATGAGGATCGGAAAATATATAACCTCTTCTCAACAACCAATCTCTTATGTATACAAAATCCTGGTTGTGTAATTTGTATACTGTCTGATCGTCATTTTCTTGCATTTCTTGTTTTTTCCTGGTTATTTTAACTGGACATGTAAAATTTACTACTTACAATTTTGTGTTTTGGAAACAATGTATTATGTAGGTTAAGATGTTTACAGTTACATTTTTAACGTCAGCTGTGTGCTAAAACTGTGTTATCTAGGAAGCGTTTTAAAAACCTAACTTCTTTGCTTAAGGTTACTTAAACAACGGCTGTGTCATACTAATACCATACCACTATAATAACCTTGAACTTTTATTTGACGCTAATCTTAAAATAAATAAACATCCCACGTAGTTTTGCTAATATTACTTTTTTATTTGTTTAAGCCAGTTGTGTGGCATTAGAAAATGAAACCATTTTGACGGTTCTGCTTGTTTACATTGAAATGTCATAGCAAAAACTAACATTGTGAGGTTTTTTCATTGCAGCCAGCTAATGTATAACATACGTTATCTGTTCACGACTTTTCCGTTTAGCGAACGCATATTGAAACCGAAGAAATTTTACCTGGAACGCTAAGTGGTGGCCCTATAAGTAGTAGCTCTTCAAGTTGGGTAGTTTTGAGTTTTGATCATTATTGTAGTGGTTAACACGAATAATTATTTTCAATTTGCGCGTACACTGAAGGTAGTTGAAAGTTTCTATTTAGAGCTGCATAAACAAGACATACCAATTAAATATGGTTATCTATCCATCTATACTATAGAATGAGTAACAACTGGGACGGGTGGCGTCTCCTGTAATCCAGCTACTAGGCGGTCACGAATTGTGGATATTTATAGGCATGCACTGTGAATGGGATACTCCATGGTGTGGATTAACGTCCGCACGAGTGAGTACTACGACTATTCTCAGTACTATCCTGATAATTAGACCAATTCGTTAATACCAAGGCAAAAATGTGGTTCTAATTCCACTATGACTGTAGATCCCTTAATTACCATTAGCTGTATGGGCTATTAATTAACAGCCGTGTCTAAGGAATATGCCCGCCTTAGTCACTAACAAGACTACAAGATCGCGCCACTCATCCTACACTCATATTTGGGTTTAAATACGCACATAGTGGCGTCCCCATCTTAAATCTCAATATATAAAAGGCAAAGCCCTCACTGACTGACTTACTCACTCACTCACTCATCACTAATTCTCCCACTTCCCATTTACCTACGAGGCTGAAATTCGGTACATAGGTAAATAGTAAACAGTAAATAGGAAAACTAAGTAGTTTTTATTCTGATCGGGCTTTTGGGCTCCGCCCCAGTGGCTCTGGAGTTTCCCATGTTAACCTTATGATTTTTCATATTTAAAAGGAATTTCTTAACAGCCGTTTCAATTAAACAAGTTGGTTCTGTTCTATGATGTTCAATAGCATTAAAGTTACAAGGATTACCAACAGGGTGCAGCACTATTATTTTTTTAAATTTATGACTACAGCCAATTTGCAACCAAAAGGTGAGTGAGCATAGCGAACGAACTTCAACCAGGACGTGATTGAGCCATGCGAACGAGCTCACTTGTGAAGTTGAACGGGGCAAAGCCCGCGGGTACAGCTAGTAATTGATAATTGATTTAGTTTAGTTTACATTTTACATATCTGTAAATGAAATGACCTCGAAATGTGGATATGCAGTGGGACTAACTTCCATTGATTGTTAGGGCCGTTGAAAATAATAAATGTTTGTTAATGTGTCAGGTACAATAATTTCTTAAGATACAATATTTTTTTAAGAGTATTTGGAGTTTTCATTTGCAGTTAATACTAACTATTTTGCCGTTTTTGTGTTTACACTTTAATTTATTTCTAAAGTGCCTAATAGTGTATTAATCCAAGCAGGTATATTCACCTTAATCGAACTAAGATTTATGTATATATCTGAAAAAATTGTGAAACTTGTATTCAACAACAAAACAAAACGTATGTATCTACAATTTTTCAGTCCATTGAATGTTTACTTTCCATCCTATTGAATACTTTATAAACTTTTCATGTTTTTCGTTTCCAAGCAAAGAATTACACAAAGGAAAATATGTTAGATTTTTATCTCCATACACATGAGGTATCAATATACCCCCAACACCTTAACTTAAGCAATTCAAACTTTTGTACTACTCTTTTAAAGTGAAAAAGAGTGAATTTTTGCTGTTAGTATGTGTTTTCCTATTTATTTATTTATTTATTATCATTCCAACGGCAGAGCCATTTGAGAAAAAAGGCAACAAACAGTTTCCATCCTAGCACAAACAATGTAACAATCGAAATAACAATAGAAAAATCAACAATAAATAACAATAAAGTTAATAACAATATAAATAAATGACAACAATATAAATAAATAACAATATGAATAAATACAATATTAATAAATAACAATATTAATAAATACAATATTAATAAATAACAATATTAATAAATACAATATAAATAAATAACAATACTCGTTACAATAAATATGTAAATGAATGCCAAAAAATTTAAAAAATTGCGTAAGGCTGAATAACAACAAAAACATTTGAAAGTTAAACAATCATCGACAAAAAGTTCAACTAAGCAATTTCATTCCGTTGCTCGCCAAGGACAGTGAGGAACTTTCTTCGAGCTAGTTTGAAGCCGTCGAAGAAGAAGTCCACTGCACCTGACACCGTGTTTCCCAGGCGAAGAATCCTAGCGAGTGGACTGTTGGCGTCATAGGATGTTGACCTGAAGCGCCGGCCAAAAAATGCTCTGAGACGAGTTCTGCCTGGAACCCTGATGTCAATCTCCAGAAGAAGTTCGGAGCAACTGAGAATGCCATTCATGATCTTGTATAGGAGACACAGGTCAGCAACATCTCTTCGAAGGTCTAAAGGATGCAATCCCAGCATCTGTGCACAGTCGTCCACGGGAGCGTCTCTATAGGAGTAGCCATTTCTAACACAGACCAGACGAAGAAATCTTTTCTGGATGGCGTCCAAGCGTTGCCTGTCGAATTCCGTGTAGGGCGACCAGACCACAGAAGCATATTCAAGACCCTGTCTGACTAATGCGCAGTACAGAGACTTCAAAGCATGGGGACAACGGATACCTCGTGTGAATCGTATGATGAATCCCAGCATTTTGTTTCCTTTCTTGGTAACATGGTCCACATGATCTCCAAACCGTAGGTCGTGTGAGAAAATAATTCCTAGGTCTTTGATGGTCGTGGTTCTTGGAATACTGTCTACTCCCAAAAAATACAAAAATATGAGCGGATTAAGAGAGCGATGGTACGTTATAACAGAACATTTGCTGGGATTTATCTTCATATTATTGTCCTCACACCATATCATAACCTTATCCAGGCTCATCTGTAACTGTGCAGCGTTATTGTCAGAAGACACCTCGCAAAAAAGCTTCAGATCATCGGCGAACATGAGAGCACCTACGTCCATCTGGTCAAGAAGATCATTGATGAATACGTTGAAGAGGTACGGTCCCAAATGTGAACCCTGTGGAACCCCAGAAGTCTGATAAAAGGGTCTTGACACAACGGAGCCAATCCTGACAGCCAAGTGACGATAAGCCAGGTAGTCTTGAATCCAACTGACTAATGGGTTAAGGAATCCATACCCCTTAAGTTTAGAGATGAGAATGTTGTGATCCACCTTGTCGAACGCTTTAGCAAAATCAATATAAACAGTATCCAGTTGGGATCCTTTTCTAACTGCTGAGAGAGCCTTTTCTTGAATGAGCAGTAGGTTGGTTGTTGTAGACCTCCCGGTGACAAATCCATGCTGACTGTCATGAATGATTCCCCCAAAGATAGGCTTCAGCATGTCCAAAACCAAGCTCTCGAAGACTTTAGAGATGGCAGACAATATGGTTATTGGACGGTAGTTCCTAATGTCACAGGGATCACCGGACTTAAGCAGCGGAACAATAAGACCAAACTTCAGGCATTCAGGGAATTTTCCACTAGAGAGGGAAATGTTAAAGAGACGTTGAAGAGGGGTCGCCAGAATATCACAACAATGCCGCAATAGAGAAGGAGGAATTTCATCAGGGCCTGCATCTTAGAGGGGTCTAGCTGAGCTAACTTGCGCTTGATTGCATCCGTGGTGATATGAAGTGTGCTGATAGAGTTGATGGACATGAAATCAAAGACGGGTGCTAGGACTGAAGAATCAGAATATACTGAGCCAAAGAAATTAGCAAAGAGGTCACATTTATCAGCCAGGTCTTCTGCAGAAACATTATCGAAGTGCATAGTATGTGGCATAGACGAGGAATTTCTGGCTGAGTTGACGAAACTCCAAAACACCCGTGGATTAGAGGGGATGCGATCTTCAAGCTGGGAAAGGTAGTTTTCATGGCATACTATAGCTAGTTCCTTACACTTTTGGCGAAGTTGGGAGAATTTGAAGTAGAGCGAAGGGCTAAAGCTCTCCTTGTACTTCCTATGAACACTTTTTTTCTCGATAGTCAACTTGATAAGATCACGAGAAAACCAAATAGGGAAATGAAGATTACCGAACATTTTCATGGGGCTTGACTGTAGAGCTGCGTTTCTCAGAATCCCAGTGAGCCTAGCGAAGTCATCATCGAGATGGGAAGGAGAAGCGCCAAGCAAGTTCAAATCGTGACAAGCAATCATATTGTAAGCAGTAACTAGATTGCACTTCTTCAAGTTTCTTCCGACATCCTTAAAAGTTTTAATCTTCTGTTGCTTGACAGCAATTGAAGTAGCAAGAGGTGGATGATGGTGGTCAGGAGGCAGAAGTATGTCTTCAGCTAAAGTGATCGCATGAGCCCCTTCACTACAAAACATAAGATCGAGCAACGCACCTCTCTGATTTCTTACGGAGTTCATTTGGACAAGTGAATGAATTTCAGCCATATCGTGCAAAGCAAGAGCCGATGAATCGGAGGAAGTTGGTTCTGACCCAAAATCTGGAATATTGAAGTCTCCAGCGAGGGTGATATATGGAGTAGATTCAGTGTGTGAAGACAGAACATCAGTAACACAATCAGCATAGCGGTTATATGTTTCAGAAG